GTATCACAAGCGTCCACTATAGACCTGGCAGTACACTTTTGCACATATGTGACAGGAAAAGTAATCTAGTGTAAAAAAAAATTAAACACTTTTTTGAGGTTATTAGCACTGAGATCAGTGAAAGCTACAGCCAGTTTTTAAAGGTTTGCATTAATTATTTTTTTTTGCATTTGAAAATCAGAAACTAGAGTTGTGGAATAATAAGCAACATTGAATATCAAAAAATTTTAGAAACAGGAATAACAACCACCACAAAATCCTGATATACCTGCCCCCCCCCCAAAAAAAGGAAGGGCAGATACTGTGGATCACAAGGAAACTGGATTTATGCATGGAAATTAAGTGTAGGAGAAACAATTGGAAAGGAAGAGATGGAAAAAGGGGAAGAGAAGAGAATGAAGCAAGGGAGACAAATGGAGAAAGAGAAATATGTACAGGACAGATGGATCAGAGGCAAAACAAGTACTGCTGGATGGAAATTCAGTATCATTACAACACAGCTATTTCCACAGCACGCACCCCTGAAACCCACCCCCCACCCCCAGAAGGTGATAAGCCAGCCAATGGAACCAGAAACGAGAGGCGTATAAATCACTTAGCCAGTACTTACAGAGATTTTATTGCACATCAAACTTCCATACATATCACACCAGGATTAGTGTTAGCTCTCTGAAATGAAGCAGCAGTAGGAAGACCACATGGTGTGGACTGTTCTCCAATGGCTGTTTTAGCCAGCTGTAATTATCGTGCTCATCTGGAAGCCGAGTGGTGCCAGTAATAGAAACGGGTCATGGGAAGAGTGGGTTCTTGTCCGGGCATGTCATTATATGACCTTGGCTGGCCGAGCTCTGGGTCTTGGTTTCTTTATTTGCTAAAAGTGGACAAGGATTTTTATGTCCTGATTATTTCACAGGAGCGCTGGGGACAGGAAACCAGAAGGATATATACCCGCATGCTTCCATAAGGACGAAATGCCAGAAGAATGTGAAATTGACCTTGATCTTTTTCACTTAACAAAGTGGTGGGTAGGTGGGGGTGGGGGGTGGGTATGATGACATTGTGTGCAGAAGGCTTGGTGACTCAAAGAAGCATCTTTTTTCTGCTCAGTAATATCTGGTCTGGGATTATTACTGCTTTCCCAGTGATTTTAGGCATACCTTTCTCTTTCAGAAATGCCAAAGGTGCAAACGCTATTCTGCTGCTATGATTTGTCATCCTGGCTGCCTCAGCAAGATGCACAGAGACGGTTCAGTAATTAAGCTTTTCAATGTGCATCATAAAGTTTTATTCTGGCAAAGGCTATATTTAATCAGCTAACAAGTATTAAATCACCCCACTGCTCAAGCCGTTTCTCACCAGAATATGCTCCTTTCAAAACACAGCAGCTTTCTTTGGCTAGCTTGACTAATAGAAGTCCTTCCTTGGAAATACACTGGTGATGTGTGGTCTTGTGAGGTAGAAATACACCCCTGGCATTGTTTGATGCGTCGCCGACTCCCATAGTCTCAGGGGGGTAATGGTGGACATCCTACAGTCTTTTACAGCATCCTTCCAGTAGCTACTAGGATATGGATTTCTTTAGCTAATTCTTTTCTAAAGGGGGAAGAAGCAAATGGAAACTCAAATGCAGTAGGGGTCTTCAGAATGATTGAAGCAGTGAAGTGACAATAATCTAGGTATTGAGGGGGTGGATGTTCACATTGTCAGCATCTACCAAAAGTCACAGAAGTAGCGGGATAACATGCTTAGAATGACTAGCTATGGAACATTTTAGTGATGGCTTGGAAGGATAATTATGTAACTAACCCATTTCTCTCTTTACAAGTTTTTCTTCCCTTATAGGACATAGGCCTGCCATTGTTCTTAAAGATTCAGGACACTTTCTGCCCAATGACTTCAGACATATATCTGTTTAAAACAAAATAATAAAGACAACTGAATGACTTTTTAGGTACTTTAAAGAAAAAAATAAAGACAAATATTTATCAAACATGGAGCAGTATCATGCAATAAATCATTTTCTATTATTTTATATCAGAAACTACATTTTATTTTTCCTTTTCATGCTTTCAAATGAAGTGGCACTAGCCACATGCAGGCATTTTAGTTTTTTAGTTTTACCCATTTATTGCTAAAAGGCAAGGTATCCTCACATGCTAGAGAAACTGGTCCTTATTTGCTGATAAACCAGAAAGCTCTGCCAGTGCTTGTGTAGGTATGCATGTTGCAAGAACAAGCAGGTGAATGCAATTTAAACACTGCCAAGAGACAAACTCTTTGGATAAATATCTCCTAGTTTAGGAATCTGAAACAATTATTTCTTTGCTTTCAAAATGATGAACCGGGGGCTGGAGATATAGCTCAGTGGGTAGAATACTTGCCTAACACATGTCAAGCTTTGGGCTCTGTACTGAGCACCACATGAGCAGGGCATGGTGGCTGTGTGGTTTGAATGAGAATGGTTCCCGTAGGCTCCTATATTTGAGTGTTTAGTTCCCAGTTGATGAAACTATTTGGAAGGATTAGGAGGTGTGGCCTTGTTGGAGTGGGTGTGGCCTTGTTGGAGGAGGGATGCTACTTGGGATGGGTTTTGAGGCTTCAAAAGCCTATGTCATTTTCAGTTATCTCTGTCTACCTCATGGTTGTATCCCAGGATTTAAGCTCTCCAGTGTTGTGTCTGCCTGCTACCAAACTTCCTACCATGTTGGTCATGGACTCATCCTCAGAAACTGTAAGTCCCACTAAGTCCTTTCTTCAAGTTGTCTTGGTCAAGGTGTTTCATTACAGCAACTGAAAAGTAACCAAGACCATAGCATACACACCTGATAGTCTAATATTCAGGAGGTAGCAGTAGGGAGATCATTAATTTAAGGTCATCTTTGGTTAATAGCAAAATTGGGACAGCCTTAAACCTGTTTCTTTTTCAATTATTTAAAGATTAAAATATAATTATCATTCCCCCTTCCCCTTTTCTTTCTCCAATCTCTTCCATGTCCACTTCCTACTCTTAAATTCATGGCCTCTTTTTCTTTAATTATTGTGACATATATGAATAAATATCTGAATAAAATTTGCCAAGTCTGTTTAGTACTGCTTTATGTATATAATTTCAGAGCTAACCACTTGGGACTTTGCTGTGGGATAATGCTCTGGTACTCTGTAAAGATTTGTCCCTTGTATTGGTTTAATAAAGTGCCGATTGGCCAGTAGCCAGGCAGGAAGTATAGGCAGGGAAACCAGACTAGGAGAATTCTGAGAAGAGGAAAGGCTCAGTTTGCAGTCATCACCTAGATACAGAGGAAGCAAGATGAAGAATTGCTACACTGAGAAAAGGTACCAAGCCATCTGACTAAACATAGATATGAATTCTGGGTTAATTTAAGTTGTAAGAACTAGTTAATAATAAGCCTGAGCTAATAGGCCAAATAGTTTATAATTAATATAAGCCTCTGTGTTGTTTTGGGACTGAACAAAACTTCCATCTATAGGATTTGATAACCAATTAGGAGGCTTTTACTTGGGAAAGACTAATTTTCTCTCTCTCAGCATTCCTTCACTCCCCGTAGTTTTTTGTTCAGGGGTGGGGGTCCCATGATATTTTCCCCTTCCACCTTAACATGTCCATTGGAGTCCTTGTTCAGGTCTCTTTAGGTAGAAATACTGTTGAGGTATTCTGAGCACAGCTTCCCTGTCATTTCTAGAAGACACAGTTTCTTGGTCCTCTGGCTTTTATAATCCTTTTGCCCACTCATCCAAGATGTTCTCTGAGCTGTAGGTACAAAGAGAGATTTCCTTGGTGAGTGGTAAATATAGTTTAGATGAAGTTATGATAATTAGGCTGACCATGCTACTACCAGAGCCATAGATGAACAAAAACCGCACAACCAAGCATGAGAAATCCCCCTTTTCAGTTGTTGGCCAAGAGAATCCAAGCGACATCCCCAAACAACATATGCTATCGCTGTTGCTCTTTGTTGCCTCCCAGAGATTGGAGGCCCTATGGTTGTAGACACTTTGGACACAGGACACAAAGGATAAGCCTGAATCTGAGCTGAAAGCCTCTTCCCTGAAACATGTTTTCACAGTACTGGAAAGTGCTAGGCAAGCTGGCTAACAAGGGAGGGAATAAACCCATAGTCCTATTTAGCTGTGATACCCATAATCACAACAATAACCAGCAAGGCAAGTCATCCTTAAAGCAATAGTAGTATTCATATATTAGTGGTAACCAACAGCTCTCTAATAGAACTCAAAGTCTTCTCAACAAAATAAAATCAGGCTGCATACTGGAAAGCTAGCCAACTACCCAGGGCTCATGAGGTGAGAGATATTAGAGGAGAACCTACCACCACTTAATAAACTGCATCCTAAACATTTACTCTAACACATATGGATTTATTTTTTAAAACAGACTGCTATAATTTTTGCTTTCCAAATTAATAAGAAATAGCTCATTTGGAAACCCGAGGCTAAGTTTTTCTCCAGCCAGCAATCATGGGACCAAATACCAAATACATGGGTGACATGCCAAACTGCTAAGTTAGAAAATACTGAGAGATTTAAAATGCATTCATTCTCTGATCAGCTGGGGTTTTGTTGAACGACAGGGAATTCGTTAGCCGTGGCGTAGTCCAAGTACTGCGATGGACAGAAGCAGTCAGAGATCTCATGTTAAGGACTGATGAACTTCCTCTCGGTTCTGTTTAATTTTTATCTCACATATGAAGGCTGGAACTTGCTTTTAGGCTAAAAAGTGCTGTGCAATTTGGCAAATGAAGATGGTTCATGTCATTCTCAGCCAACCTGTAGGGGGTCCTTTTGTGGGTCAAGCTGCTCTTCAGACTGTAGTCTGGTGACATATGTGACCTACTACCCAGAGCCTTAATAACTTGGAAAGCAAATGCAAATCAAAGATTATTCCACATTTCAGAGAAATCTTGCACTTCAATAATTTGCAAAAATGTCAATTCAAGGATATGTGTGAAGTTATTACACAAGACTTGGTAATGGTTGTTTTTTTATTTAGAACTGAAGTTTTCAAAAAGATAGCAAAGGTTTGGGCCCTTGGGAACTTTGGTTTAGTATAATTGTGGGGATGGTTATTTGTTCCTCATAAGAATTATTTTACTTTAACAAGGATCAGTCATAGAAAATCAGAGAATGCAGGGAAGGAGCAAAGTCTAAGAAATTATCATTTTATTATGGGTGGTAGCTATCAAAATTATTATATTGTTTTATATTTCATATGAAAAATGACAGGTAAGTGGAGAAATTTTTCCAAGTAATTCCTCTCCCCACAAAAACCCAGAATAATTAATAACAGAGGTCTGTGAAAACAAAGATCCCCAAAGTGAATGTAGAAACGAGAACATAGACACTAAATATGATTCTTTAAAACTTCCATGACACTCAGGGCAGAGGCAATGCAGCCATCGAAGTTGGAGTGAGTAAATCCATCCCCTCCACACACCAAGGAAGGGTGGAGGTGAAGAGTCATCTGGCCGGGACAGTTGGCAGCTGAGTTTGTAACCTGAAAAAAGCAAAAAATGAAAAAAAAAAGATTGGAGTTGGCATTCAGTGTGTCACTGCACTGTCGTGGTAATACCTGCTAAGTTTTTGCTCCCTGGAGAAAATAAAATTTTACTCATGGGGGAAAAAAAAAAAGACTGTATCAAAAGTTACCTCTTGCCAAAATATTTACATATATATTCTCAAATGTTTAAAATTTTAATTACCAAATAACTGGAACTTCTAGATTTGTAGATACTATGGTCTGAATGCTTACCCGCCCTCTCCAAATTCATATGTTGTTCTCCTGTGCTGCATAATTTTATGTCAACTTGACACAAGGCAAAGTTATCTGAGAGGAGGGAACCTCAATTAAGAAAGGCAAGCCTCTAGGGCATTTTCTTAGTTAGGGATTGATGGGGAAGGCCCAGGCCACTGCAAGTGTTTCCATTTCTGGGCTGGTGGTTCTGGGTTCTCTAAGAAAACAGGCTGAGGAAGCCATGAGGAGCAAGCCAGTAAGCAGCACCCCTCCAGATCTCTGTATCAGCTCCTCCCTCCAGTTCCTGCCCTGAATTCCTTTGATGTTTAACAGTGATATGGAAATATAAGCCAAATAAACCCCTTTTCTCCCAACTTGCTTTCTGGTAATGGTGTTTCATTACAGCAATATTAACCCTAACTAAGACAGCTCTTGACCCCAATGGTGATGGTATTTGGGGAAAGGACCTTTGGGATGTGAAAGGCATGGTGTAAGGTAAGTGACCTTATGGGAGTACACAATTAAAATCCATCAACTATGAAGAAAGCAGGTCCAACACTGAACTTGTCAATGACTTGACCTTGGCCTTCCCAGCCTCCAGGACTGTGAGAAACATGTTTATTTTGCACATATACCACTGTAATTTTGGTACTGCTCTGAATCATAATGTAAATATCTGCTATGCAGGATTCCTGATATGTGACCCCTGTGAAAACCCCCAAAGGGGTCAAGAACCACAGGTTCTTTAAAAGCAGAAAAGCTTTGCAGAGAACAGCCTTGTTTATACATTACGTTTTGTCTCCCCTGCCCCTCAAAACTGGAGACTGTTGATGTACAAAAGAGTTCCAAAACAGCTCAGAATGGAGTATAACAAAGGTTTATTTATTAGGGAATAAACTCACAGAAATAGTAGCATTTCACAGACCTCTGCATGTGCTGGGAACTGGAACCGAATCCAGCAGCCAAGAGGCCCAAGCATGCATTTTTGTCTGCATTTATAGTACACGAGACCATGCCCAAAGTTGCTAGTATCTTAAAGGTTATTGTTTGAAGGAGTTCCCACAGCACCTCCCCTTTTGTCTAATTAAAAGAGTTCTAAGTCTGATACAAAACTATATACAATAGGAACAAATATTAAGTATTGTCCAGGGAAAAGAAGAGGCAAAAACATACATTAAAATTAGAATTACAACCAGCATGAACAACATCAAACAAGAAAAATATGCTAAATGTTTCAATAGTTATCTTATCCTAAGGAGTCTTAAGTCAAGTCTTACATTAGAAATGGCTTGGCTAAGTAATGAGAGGAAAGTAACTATTACTATCCTAGCCTTCAATCCCATCAAAGACCTGAGAAGGGAAATAATATCACTTGAGTAAATAGGAAGTGCAATCAAGAAAATTCCAAAGGTGTAAGAAATGACAGAGACAACCAGCTACTTGGGCAATCACCCAAAGTCTCATTTGCAATGTTGCGGCAACCAACTTTGGTTAAGGCCTAGTATCTGACAGACCATATTTAGAGGCAGGAAAATTTTCAAAACCATTTTGCCCTGTCTTGGTAAGGTTTGGCAGTCTTTTTACTTGTTTCCTGCTTGTCCAGTGTGGACACTGTACATTTTGTCAGTGGTCGAGGCGGGGGCAGTTCTTTGCTCAACAGCCAGTTTTGCCAAGAAGAAAACAAGCTCCAACTGGAGTGTCCTCGTTGTTGCCAGGAACAATTGTGTCACATGTCAACAGAATCCTAAACTATGTAAACAGTTCTTTGAAGTGTTTGAAGATTACCTATCCATGTGGAATACAATCAAGAACCTATTTAGTCTAACTATAAGTATAACAAACATGGATGACTATTCACATGTAATTCTTAATACCTATGTAGATTAAAGACTAAGGCTTCATATTGAAAATTTAAACAGTCTTTAAATAAATGTGCAGCAAATGAGGACAATGACCTCCAAATGTAAAGAATATATAAATATCTTAATCGGAAGTAGAAATGTATAGTGCAATGTGATAAATACATCCTAAATTTGCAACAATATGCAAAATATCTTAAGCATAGGTAGAAACATGAGGCATACAATATGACAAAATAACTTTGCAAAGATGCACAAATATTGTAAACAGAAATAGGAGCATATTCAATATAATTGAATATAAAATATAATTTGTATATAAAAATATAATTTGTATCAATATGCAAGAATCTATACCCAATGTAATTTGTCTATAAATAATAGCTCACAAGTAATCTCACTATTACTCACTATTATTATTAGTGTTAGTAAGCTCACAGTAATCTACCAATTATCCCATCCCATCCATTCCCTTTTTTTAAAAAAGAGATCTCTGAGTTTACTTCATTTCTACCCCCAACCCTATACCAGTTATAACCAACCCCTAGTAATGTTCCTAGCCCTGAGGACAAATTATGTTGGGAGACGGGACATCGTTTTCTAGAATTACATCCAACTGTCATGGGAGTGATGATATTTCTATGGAATCCTGTAAAAACTAAAATGATGGTTAAGTTTCAGGATTACTGTCTGGTGCAATTGCAGATAGTCTCTGAATAGTTGGTAGGGTTTTTCTGAAGTTCTTATCTGAAGTTCTGGTCAGAACATTACAAGGAGGTGCACCATCTCAACTAGCCATGTTGGGATCATCTTGAGAAGTTTGTAACCCCAAACCAATCTTAAAGTGGTACTATCAGAATAATGACATTGTAACAACCAGGTTGTTGTGGAGCCCCACATTCTTCATTGAAACTTCAAAGACTACTGCAGGAAAATTTATTGTTCATTGTGGAAAAGTTAAACATTATTCATATAGACATATATTCAATGAAAGGTACCATAAAGACAAAAATTGGTATGAGAGAAGTTAAATTTTGTGAAAGCAGAGTTTTGATAAGAGTCCCTCAATTTTATCTTCCTTCTGTCCCACACCAGGTGGCTTCTGAGATGAGACAGAAACTCTGACTTTTTCTTTCAACAACAGGCTCGGATTTAAAGAAGGATAGCCACTGTCCAACTTCAAAGCCAGTTTTAATTTTTAAGTGAGTCGCAACTATCATTATACTGAGAAGTAGGGAGATATGTGTGTTTAGGTAGTGAAATTTTACCCTGCAGAGGATATTGTTACCATAAGTTAGATCTCTTTGCTTGGTGATTCTTTGTGGATAGCTATCTTTTCTTATTTAAGCATCTAGATGTCCAAGGTCTCTTGACTTTTCAAAGAAGGGTATTTTCCTGCAAAGACAAGAACAGAACCCTGCCCCAACCCTTATGATGTTTCCTTACAACCTATAGGATTGTCACCTCTATGGATGAGCTGTCATTTCTTTTTATCAAGCAGTTTCTCCTTTTCAAACCAAATCTTTATTAATTTTGATGGTATCCATAACTTTTCTTCTCCTGTGGAGGCTACTGGCCTGAGTTCGGGCTTGGCATTCGTGGATCTGAACTGGGAACGCAAGCCTGTGTCCCCTATATAGGGTTAGAGCCTTTGCTCCCAGGGTCAGAGCTCAGCCTGATCAGAACAGGCCTTGCAGAAGCCAGAGAAGCCACAGAGCAGATGCAGCAGAAAGCAGTGGGCTGCAGTAGGCGAGACCAAGTCAGGTAGCATGGACCATGGTGGGAAATTGCTAAGTTGCTGTGGCAGGCCCACGGAGCCAATCCATGCTCAGCTGTGTGCTAGAGGGGTAGTTCAGCTGCAGAGAGGTAGGTCAATTGCATAGGATGAGAGAATGCCACAGACAGGGGTCTGGGCAGGGCCCGGCAATGGTATGGACTTGGACCCCACATTAGATGCCAATTTGCTGGTGTACAAAAGAGTTTCAAATTGCCTGGAATGGAGTATAACAAAGGTTTATTTATTAGGGGATGAATTCACAGAAAGGGTAGCGATCTGCAGTCCTCTGTGTGTACCCAGCAGCCAAGAGGCCTGTACATGCTTTTCATCTGCATTTATAGTACATAAGACCACACCCAATGTAGGCTGATTATCTTAAAGGCTATTGGCTGAAAGAGTTCCCACAGCAGAAGATTGAGCCCACAGGCTTCAGTAGGCAGGGCTAACAAGAAAGCTGTTCCTAGCCCTTCTATTTTGCTTAAGCAAATAAAGATCTTGAGACACCTGTGATGTATATATATATATATATATATATATATATATATATATATATACATATACACACACACACACACACACACACACACACACAAGGGAATCTTAGCTTGCACAGAAACAGGACATATGACAAAGAGAACAATGGCAGGACCTGAGACAGTAAGCCTAGGGGTGGGGGAACTCTCTGTTATGATGGCTCTCCGTTATGGGGAAGACTTGAGAGTTTTCATTATATTCTGCAGGTGGATTTAAATCACTTAGAAAAAAAAACTTTGCCCTTTCTGAGAATTTATGCATCTAACCCATCTACATTTCTAGGAGTATTACATTAGTCACCCAGACCAGGAAAGAGGTCTTTCTGTACAGCCATGTCACACATGTGAGCCAGAGAAACCTGACTTTCCATAGGGCTGTTTCAGCCCTGACCCAGACTTTAAATACAACTATTGAGATGTGGTTCCTGGCTGTGGCTGGTATTGCGAGAGAGTGTGGTTTCGACAATGACAAGATCCTCTCTTGCAGGACTCTCTGCCTCACATGGCTGAAGACACTTTTGCCAAAACACACTCCATGCTTTCATATTTTCCTCACTGGGTAATTGCAGAACGGGCAATTCCACCTTCAATGCG